CATCACTATTTACTCTAATCAACTTAAGCAATTGCTTTTGCAGACACAAATTTTCCAATGACATCCACAAATACCTTTGCTAACGGCAGCAATTATTTGAATTCCAGTACATTCACACAAACGTGTCGCTGTCGTTTCAAGGAGTACTAGACTACTAGTTAAAAGCCTTGTTCTAAAACGTGTTGGTGTTGGTTTTCATTGGATGAGGATTCGCTAATAGATTTTCCTCTAATGTAAAATTGCTACCTCTGCATGTGGCTAGGTGGTGTTGATCCCTAACTTTTACGTAGAAAAAATTAGATCTGTCTGTCACTGATGGATAGGTTCCATGGGATTACCAGGTTAGATCTCGACCCGTCAGACACTCTTAATTAAAGAAAAAAATTTGTCCACCTAATGATTATTCGACTCATAACATTCATGCAAAAAATTTTGGTATTGTTTTAAGGAGTACTAGTTAAGAGTACATGTTATGCACTTTGTTACTGTTCATCATATCTAGTTTTGAGCACAGCTGGATCGTTTTATCTCTAAATTTTATAAAGCTAATTATACAAAGATTACATAATTTTAAAATTGTCAAAATTATTTTTTTTATCAAAATTAATTTTAAAATGTTTATAATCTCCTAATTTTCATATCCGACCTATGATGGTGTTTCGAAAATTGGAGTTTCACTCCACAGTCCACTGAGAGTAGGGCCGAGCATTTTATTCGTTAAATTTGATTTGATTCGTTATTCGTCTCGATTTGATCAGAAAATTCCGGATATTCATAAACTTTCGAATCAAAGCAAATATTAAAAATCAATATCCGTTAAAATCGAAGCAAATCACAAATATTAAAATTTTGTAAAGCGGATATCCGATCCGATCCGGAAATATATAAATACATATATATTTTGATTATATTTAAAATTTTAAATATATAAAATTATTATTATAGCTTATGATTGATTAACTATATTCACATTATTACTTATATAAAAATATTAGATAAAAAGAGAAAAATATGAAAATTATAAAAAAATCTGAAGTTTTGTGTTATTGTAATTGTTAACTTAAACTTAAAAAAATTATAAAATATGTAAATTCACTATTTCTTTATTTTTTTATTTTATATATCACGAAAAAAATATTTTAGAAAATAAATTTATATCAAATTTTAAAGATTATTTGTAACGGATTAGATATTCGTAAGTATTCGTAAATATCCGTAAATATCTATTTATTTTCCGGATATCCGTTTTTCCAGATATTCGTATTTTTCCGAAGCAAATCAAATACCAAAATCAGATATCCGTAAAATACGAAGCAAATCACAAATACTTTCGAAAACCCGAATATCCGATCCGTGCCCACCCCTAACTTAAGAGTAACGTTAGAGAGGAGGGACAAATGCAGAATTAGGGTCAATGATATTATACATCGTAACTCAAACCCTATAGCATATATTGTCCGTATAATATGTAGGTCTCATAAATAAGAAGTGGGAAGAATAATGATTATAGAAATTGAAAACCGGAGGTTCATAATTAATTCTTACGTCAGATGATGATGCCTTGCATGGGGTCTTCCAAAGAGATTTGGAGTAATCATATTTCGGACATCTCTAAAACTGAGATTTCAATGTTGACTTCGAGTTTGCTTCGTTTTAAGATATAGTATGCTGATGATTCGTTTTGGCCAATTATATCATCATGGTTCTTGGTCTCAATCTAATTTCATTTTTCATACACACACTTGAGTTTGATGCGACATATTTCTTATTTCTATACTTCATCTTGTCCAACACATTTCAATAAGCAATGGACATACTAGAGGGTAATATTTACTTCAAATTTTGTATCAAGTTTCTGAATCATTTGAAATTATAAAATATTTTCAAAACTTTGTCTATTTACAATTAGCTAACACAAAGATCAATGCCAAACCATTTATCAACAAAAGATATGTCAAAAGTCTATACCGTTAAACACACAAACGAGTTGCATGTAAAGTAGTATCGCTTCTTAGTCTTTATTTAATAAACTAATGGTAAAATCTCAGCTAAAACATCATGGATGTGCTCAAAAATGTCTTTAATTTTGTCAAAGTTTATTTTGTGGACCTTTATTAAGTCTTGCGGTCAATATAAAAGAAGGATGTAAAAAGCAATTTAAAATCCTTTAAAAGTTTGAAATGAAATGCGAAGAAAAATACAATAAAATAAAACAATATGGTAAATGCGATGAGTTGATGCTTAGGATGTAGGAGTAGACAAAATAAAGTCAATAAGACCAGAACTCGTAGTTACGTTTTCAAAGAAAAATGAAGTCTTCTGACTAATAATTTGTGGCTTGATGACGTCACATAGAATCCGAATGAAAAGCCTCCTGTCTCATCTCTGCACAAAGCCGCTTGAATCCCACTGATTTGTGTTCAACCTAAAAAAGTACTTATATTTTATTCATATTACAAAAAATAAATAAAACGATTAATAAAGCTTTGGGGAAACATCTACTTAAATTTAGCATATAATAAGATTGTAACCTGCTTTCTCTACTGTAATATAAACTAAAATTTGATCCATGTTTATTTTTACATGTTTATATATAAATATTTATTAAAAGTGATAATTTATATTTTAAAATTTATCTGTTTAAATAGTTGTTTAATATAATATTTCTAAACATGAAATTTTAAAGTTTATATTGAGTAATTTTGTTTTTACTTATAAATCATCATTGTATCATTCATTTTTTTAGAATATGATATGCATATCCACACAAATGTATTTTTCCCCTTTTATAGATTAAAAAAACTTATGATAATATATAATAAAATTGTTGTATATATTATTAAAATATATAGTGTTATATGTTTTATGCTTTTCAACTTTTATCATATTAAATTTACATTGACTATTTTTATATATGTAACATATATATATATATATATATTTATTTATATTAATCTATATATTATCTAAATACTTCTTTTTATGTTTGTTTTATTTTAATTATTACTAATAAATTATAAAAACCTAATTATATAGATTTAAAAGATTTTGATTAACAATTTAAAATTAAATTTATTAATTATTTATAAACACACATATATATAATAAAATAACAAAATACAAATAATATTAAAAATTAGGTTTATTAATTCTTGTTGCAAGGATTTTTATTTAGAATCTGATTTTTGAAATATATTAATTAAATAAGAAAAGACAAAGAATCCTAAAGATAGGTTAATTAGTAAAATTAATGGTATATCACTGTAAATAAGTTGGAAACTTAATCGTTATTTTCTTTTTTTCTTTTTTAATAATATAAATTAGATGAAGATCAATGCCTTACGCAAAATAAATATTTTCTATACAAACTATATTTATATATTATTACTTGTTTTATGCTTTTTTATATAGTATTAAATAATAAAAATATATGAAGTAATTTAGATTTCAGTAACTACTATATATAAATAATTGGTGAGCACCTATTAATTAAATGATCACTCTTGTTTATTAACGATCATTTTATGGTAAATAAAAAAAGATATTAACCTAGATATATAATATATTTTTAATATATTTAGTTATTAATGAAGTTTCTAATCATAGGGTTTTATGGTTATTATCAGTTTTATAAAAAGAATTAAAGCATTGATAATTTTTTAATCTAAGATGTTTAAACATTTTAGTATTTTATAGCCATTTTTAAAAATTCAATGCAAATTTCAGAATTGAAATATTAAGATCTTAGTATTTGTTCAAGGTAAATATCAACAAAGTAAGTATGTTTTTAACAAAAAAAAAATGTAAGTATGTATTTATATAAAGTTAATTTAATTTATAATATATATATATATATATATATTAATATAAACATCTATTAAATAAGACTTTTTATTCATGTGGTTTTATAATAATTTATTTTTGTTATAGTAAGAACTTCAAACCTTTGATCACAAAAATTTAGTTGAGATTTTTAACAATATAGGAATTTTTTAAAATTCAAAATATAGCATATACAAAACAATCTAATTTTTATTAATGGTTAATATAATTGCGTAAATTATTTTACTAACAAAGATTTAAACAAAAATGATAGTGAATATACAAATTGAAACATTTATTACTGAAAATCATTTTGCATCATATATATTTTAATTATATTAAGTAATTTCGTAATTTTTATTTAAGATAATAATGGAGAGTAATCTTTGTACATTAATAAAGGATTTTAATGATTAGTTCAATGAAAATTATATCCGTTAGTTCTTTCTACTGATTTCGAATAACTATTTTGATGATGACATGTATTCAAATGTTGTAATTTTCCTCTTTTAATATATAGATGATATGTAATTAACTCAACTGTTTTGAGGAGCAATAAGCCTATAATACGAACATTTTATCTGAATATTATCCGGTATTATTGCTGAAGATAATTATTTACGTATAGATGTTTGACGACTAATATAAAGAGAAACTGGCTTTTATTTCGAAACCATATAATAACTAAAATGTTCAGATTCACATGGCCTAAATATAAAATCCTTTCAGGTTTGGGTGGTATTGGATACAACTTTCATCACGTGACTTGAATTGCTATACCATATAGTCGACACTCTTCCTAATATTTTCATTTTTCAATATACTTTTAATTAATAAAAAGTTAAAACATGATTATGCGTAGAATCAGTTTTGTAGATTATTGCATCAATTTAATTTCCAAAGCCTTCGTAAATTACTATAAACAAAATAATTGATATTATGTGTGCGCATATGCTATGGCAAACTTGAGATGATATTGGAGGATATTTTTGTGTATAAATACCGAATCTTAAGCAAAAACAAAAAAAAATTTAATACATTTGAGAAGTTACTGATAGATATGGACTTGACAAATTATCTGATAAGTAGAGCAGAGGTACAATGTTAGTCCAAGAATCAACCATATCCTAAAACCAAAGCCCCACACAAGAAAGCAGAGAAGGATTTTTAATTAACATCGAAAATAGAAAAACAAAGTAAAATATGACTGAGAAGACTACAACAGACACTGTCTTCTTGTAATAGAAGAGAATCTTCTTTCATTAACAAACTACTGGATACTACTACTATCTTCCCTACATTAACACCAAATAACCAAAGAAAAAATACATACGGTTTAGTCTTTTTTTCTTCCAATACCAGATCTTTGCTCTGGCATTTCTTAATTATAATTCAGTTTTGTCCAGAAGCAGAGCTTGATGAAGAGCCTTTGTTGTCATTGTTTGATCCATCAGGGTTCTTCTCAGTCTCGGAGCTTTTCTGTTTTATTTGAAGAAGAAGCTGTTGATTTTCTTGGTTCAGACGCTCAGCTTCCTTCCTTAGCCTCTCATTCTCCATCATTATGTAACAGTTCTCCACATACAGCTTCGAGTTTAGCCTCTCCATTGCTTGATTGGTTTCTTCAAGAAACAAAAACAACGAAAATCATTGTCAAAAATAAAAAGACAAAAGAGAGTAGTAATGATAATATCAACGCTAGCTTGTGTTATGATTATTGTTCATGTTAAATCATTACATCACACATGGGTTGTGCAGCTTCACACGTCGGGTGTGAATTACATTAGGGAAAACTATTTGTCGCATTTATTTCGTTTTTGTCCTAAAAATGTGATTTTTTCTTCTTTTTAAGAAATCAATGATCAAAGAGAGAAGAACATGATTATAAATTCGTATGGAGGATAAAAAGATAAAGCTAAAGAAAAGGAAAATGAAGGAAATTGATAAAAACAAGTAATCATGATATGCAGTAATTATAAATGTTTTAACCTCTCTGCTTTTATTTGTATTGACAGAAAAGTAATGATTATTTTTGAAACAAAACCAAGCTAGAAAAAAAACAGAGTAAGCAACAAAACAACGATAGTGTTTGTATGAATACAAATTGTGAATAGAAAACAAAGCAACTAGTTCGTTTTGAGATTCTCCCGCTTTACTCTCTTTGGTCTTGTTTTGTTCTTTTAAGTCTAACTATAGTGTGTGAACAAAGTTCAAAAAAAAAAACTAAAGTGAGTGCTCTTAAACTCCAGCTCTCATTTCTCTATAAGTACATGCATTTTAATAGAAAACCCTTTTAATAAAAAGAAATCAAACGAGTTTCAAACATTAAAAATAGGAAATTAATAGTTAAAGAGAAGGAAAAAATTTCTTTCACTCGTCTCTGGTTCAAAGAACGGATAAAGATTAAAACTTTCCATCACTGAGGGAAAAAGTAAATAAAAAGATTATATTAAAATAAAAAGGTTATAACGGGTTTGTCTCACGTTACTTGTACGTGCGACGTTACTACATAGTTTCTGGATTTAACGTATTCCCGCAAGAGAGACAGAGCAAACAAACAGAACAACGAAGCAGAACCAAAGCAAGAAAATTGAATATAACAGCAATGAGAAACAAAGCATATAGAGAAGAACCCATTTTGTGGTACATATCTTTTTGGTGAGATAAGTCAGGTAAATCTTCTAGAAGATGCTAAATCAGATATAGAGAAAAGGTTATACCTTTTGGGAAGAAGTGTTAAGATGCAGAGTTTACCGAGAGAGAGGAGACTGTGTTTAGAAGGTAGAGGGACAAAGAGAACAAAGGGACTGTCTGTTATATAGATCCCCAAAAGCTAGAGAGAGAAGGTTCTTTATCTCTCTCCTGACACAACAATCATGCATTCTGTTGTGTTTATGCATAGATGGCGGCCGCGAGAAGAGAGAGAAAAAAGATGTGTGCATATTGCGTCATGTGAATGATGATGATTTATTAAAGAGAAAGAGGTTAGAGAAAGAGCAAGGGGGTTTCTTGCTTTGCTTGCTCTTCTTTCGAAATTGATGTTTAGTGAATATCCGAAATTTTGAAAATATTTATTATCAGTTCTACTTCATCTCAATCAATAACTATATTATTCATATCAATTTCGTAACCATCCAAATATTTGGTATATGTATATTTGAAAATTTATATTTTACTAAATATCTAATCCAGTCTGTAAACATAAAATTTCAATTCAAGATAAAAATACATTATAAAATAAAAATTCAATATAAATAGTAATATTTTATGTTAAAATAATAATTTGATTATATCAAAATATAAATAGTTAAATAAGAAATTTCAAAAATATTGTAAAACATCTACATAAATATATGTATATATATATTGGTGATTAAGTTCATTTTAACGAAAAATAAAAATTATATCTTCTTTGCTTTTCTTAAAATTATGAATATTTAGATTTTTTAATTAAATTTACACGGATAACATATTAAATTAAATTTTATTGATAATTTTTTCACTTTTTTCAAGAGTTATTTTCGTATCTTCTAAAGATTTCTCCTCAAATATTCTTAACTCTTTTTACCGTATCTATCCTCCAAACATGAGAATCGGTAGAGCATCTCTAATTCCACTCTATTTACTGAGTAATGAAGAAACAAAAAATTCATTATTTCATTTACAGAATAATCATTTTTTTTCTTCATCATTCCATTTTTTACTTTATTTTGTAGTAAATTATAGAAGGAGGTTATAGATTTGTTAAAGAGTAATTAGTCCCAAAGGTAGTTTACGTCATTTGTGTAGATATGAAAGAGCTTGGTATAGTAAAAGGCCAAAGGCCATCGACCTATACAAAGATACACAATGATGGTAAAGATTGGTTCAAAGCATCAGCCTTCATGATTCAATTTAAACCATTTTGGCCATTTTTAAGTGCTCCCTTTTATCTTCTCGTTTTCTGGTTTGCTCACTATTGGTCTAATCAGTATTACACTCAGGCTTAATTTAAGTTTTTCTTTTTTCTCTTTGAAATACAAATCATTTAGTACATTTTTATAATGAATGGATGACAAATATTAGAAAATAATCATAGAGCCTTGTAAATTGAGACCTGAATAGATATAACTGCATAACATAAAGAGTTACTGAAATACAATTTTAACATATAAATCCCCTTCCAACATTCACATTATGAACAGCTCCATAAATTTACTAAATCTTTACTTTTGGTTATTTAGTTATTTAAAATGATTTTTATTGGGTGATGGCGATATTTAAGAATCCGATAGACTGGCCGACCTTTTTGGAAATAGACGATTTCCGTTTGCGACGTGTATGTTTTGAATTTTCAGTGTTTACCATATTTTTCGTTTATTTAATGTCCGTACAAATGCCTTTACAAAAAAAGTTCGAACACGAAACACTTTATTCTCCCATATAAATTAGTTTGAAGCGATAGAAATGGTTACACGTATGAGTTTTTTATCGGCCAAATTTGATTTAAACGTATAAATTGTCGACAAAAAAAATGCTCTTTTATTGGTTGTTTAGTATTCCTTGTGTTAAATAAAAACTGATTTAATTACGATGGGAGGAAAAATAAATAATGAAGTTTAAAATTTTAATAGTGTTTGGACTTTGCACACTGGAGCTCTAAAACCTACAAAAATAATCATGGATCAGGCATAATGTAGTAGCGTGAAACATCATATAAACAGCATGGTAATTGTTTTTAAATGTATGAAATTCACATGTACTTGTCTAGAAGACTAGAACTCGTTGGTTTGCCCATAATTTCAAGAAGGAAGCAAAGTAAATGACTACAAATTTCACGTTTATGAAAAAACTACTTTTCCTTGCTAATGTCTTGTACGGCTTGTTTCAATCTTTGATCACGGAATAAGTCCTAGCAATTGTATTTTTTTTTTTTTAAATATTGGTTGATATTAGAAGTTAAACAAAACTGAAACACAATCAATAGTTAGTAGGTGTGACTTGAAATGGAACTAGAGTGTGGGTGCACTTGCTTACACCAAAGGCAATGTATTAAAGTGAGGAGTTTCATTTCTTGTTGGATTGAATTTGTGAAATTACCTATCTGCCTATTGGTTTCTTCTTTTAATAAGGCTGAGAGCATCAAATCCACGTTCTGTTATTCAGTTTGATGCCGGTTAATAGAAATTTAAGTATCTCCTATGATTTTATCAATCAGTCGGACCAGTTTTTCTTGAACCATTTGAAACTCATAGAAAATACTACTTTAACATTCTGTCTCTGATCACAGCTACATAACTAAAATTTGGACGTGTTTGGTAGATAATATACTAGAAATAGATATGGGCATTCGGGTATTTGGTTTGATTTCGAATAAAAACCATTTGATTCCGGATATATCAGATAAATCATTCTTATACCCAATAGATACTTATGAAATTTTAGTTCGGTTTCGGTTCAATTACAGTTTAGTTTTAGTTCGGCACCAGATATCTGTTTAATATGTGAATCAAATATATAAATATAAATTTATATATATATAATATTAGTTAATATGTTATATATATACAAAATATCTGCCGACAAATATATATATATAGATAATATATTAGTTAGTATATTAATTTAAATGGTCTAGTGTTTACATTCTTAAATGTTCGTCAATCCAACAAGAATTCGAGTCAATAAAGTGTTAGTCTTGTAAATATCTATTGTATTTTAATGTAGACATATCATATATATTTATAATATAAGAGAGTAGATAAAAGATAATGGTAATAACAATATTCTCATCATGTCCAACCTAAGTATATGTGTGCTTGATGCCATTTCACTTTATATTAAAAAACTTAAACTTATTTTTTTCGGATATTCGGATACCAGCTCGGTTCTCGGTTTGGTTCCGGTTCCGTTTCCTATTCGGTTTTTTGGATATAGAAATATAAGAATCATTCATATATTTGAGAATTTTGGTTTGATTTCGATTCGACTTTTCGGTTCTGTTTTTTTGCCCAGATCTACTAGAAAATCCTATTTCTGAGACTTATTATCCGAGATCCAGATCTGATCTGAGATCTACTCGAAAATATGATATATGGGGTGTTCAGGTTTAGATCCGGATAGTAAAATCTTGGATCCGTCCAAACCAAATCTGAATCCGAATATCATAATTTTTAAGTCCGGATATCCAGATATGGATATGTGTTTCTAAAATATATCAATTCTTAATTTTATTAATAATTAGATTTGATATATTAATATTTATACATAAAAAATACTTCTTATAATATTATATTTAATTTAATAATATTATATATCATAATATTGTTATAAATTTTGTATAAATATTTAATTTATGTATTGTTAAGAAATGGAGGAAATGGTGGTTAGCCATATCCGAGAAATGGACCAGACCACATCAGTCTAGTTCAGTCACTAAACCAGGCGGCCAAGACCTTATCCTTATCCTTATCCAGGCGGCCAAGACTTGTCACTATCCACACTCAAGCTCCTTGTATTTATCCTTGTTATTGTAGTTATCCTAATCATTATAGGATTAGGATAATCATCCCCTTTATTTGTAGCAATCCTTATCTCCTAAGGAATATGCTTTATTCTCTTGTATGTATATATATATGTGTAACCACGTGATTAATAATACAATGAGAGTTACAACCTTCTTCTTTATTCTTTAACA